GAGTCTCGGCATTTTCGAACTTGAAAAATGTTGACAATTGAATGACAAATTATTGGCTGATGCTTACCTTTTTATTGCCACTACCACGAGTTACGAATGCCATAACTTGCACGTGCATTTTGCTTCACTGTTTTCCTCCATGACATTTGTGAAAACAATGCCGTTTAAGACATTGCAAATCGACAATGGCCGCGTTTTGATGCACCGTTTGTCGAATATCAGGCCACCAACATTTTCCAAAAACATATATCCGATTTATATACCGGATATTTTGAGTAGACTGGTTCAATGAACTACAAACTACCTGTGCGTTTCTTATTTTGAAAAGTGTATTTGTTACACAAGCCAGACATGAACACACTGAAATCTGTGCGCTTAAATTAGTATTCACCTTCACCTACACCCTATACATCAAACACGATATTTATCATGCCTACCTGAGACAATCGTATCTGACAGGTACAGTCGGCAAGTCAGTACCCGTTTGAAGGTGATACCTCATATAGCAGTTGTAACTAGATTAGGAATAAATCTGACGCGTTAAGTCATCTTGGTGTTCTATATATATCTCATCCTGATGTGACCAAGACAGTCACGTTCGTTGTAGCCAGAGTAGACAGTCACGAACTTTGTAGCCAGAGTAGACAGTCACGAACTTTGTAGCGAGAGTAGACAGCCACGAACGTTGTAGCCATGCCTAGACAGTCACGAACGTTGTAGCCAGAGTAGATAGTCACCAACGCTGTAGCCATGCCTAGACAGTCACGAACGTTGTAGCTAGAGTAGACAGTCACGTTCGTTGTAGCCATGCCTAGACAGTCACGAACGTTATAGCAAGGGAATACAGCCACGAACGTTGTAGCCATGCCTTGACAGTCACGAACGTTGTAGCCATGCCTAGACAGTCACGAACGCTGTAGCAAGTGTATACAGCCTCGAACGTTGTAGCCATGTTTGACAGTCACGAACGTTGTAGCAAGGGTATACAGCCACGAACGTTGTAGCCATGCCAAGACAGTCACGAACGTTGTAGCCATGCCAAGACAGTCACGAACGTTGACAGTTACGAACGTTGTAGCAAGGATAAACAGCCACGGACGTTGTAGCCAGAGCAGACAGTCACGAACGTTGTAGCCATGCCTAGACAGTCACGAACGTTAACAGTCACGAAAGTTGTAGCCATGCCTTGACAGTCACGAACGTTGTAGCATGGGTATACAGCAACGAACGTTGTAGCCAGAGTAGACAGCCACGAACGTTGTAGCCATGCCCAGACAGTCACGAACGTCGTAGCCATGCCTAGACAGTCATGAATGTTGACAGTCACGAACGTTGTAGCAAGGGTATACAGCCACGAACGTTGAAACCAGGGCAAACGTTGTAGCCATGCCTTGACTGTCACGATCGTTGTATCCAGAGTAGAGAGTCACGTTCGTTGTAGCCAGAGTAGAGCTTCACAAACGTTGTAGCAAGGGTATACAGCCACGAACGTTGTTGCCAACGTAGACGTTGTAACAGAGGTAACGTCGAAACATTTTGACGAATTGTTCCACGGCGATGTCTGATAGGCTAAATTCCTACATGTTTAATGTGTGATTTGACATAAACAAGTCGCTAAGCAAAAATATAGACAAATCCTGCATGTACCACCATCAATTTTCAGAATGTTCACATCACAGCAAGAAAGCACGTTACGGCCAAGCAGAGAGTCCCTTTAAGTAGGTTACTCTGGGTCGTACAGTTGCTCATGGCCGACGCTTACCGTTCCCTGGAATGTACAGGCTCCAGGTTATATGATGATAAAGGGGACTTGAACAGTGTACACATACCACATATGGTCACATCCATTGTCTAATGATTGACGCATACCCATGACACAACCTTGGGCTGATAAGATATCCAGGCTAAATTGGGTTGCTGTCAATGTACATGGTTTTAATAATATCATTTATTTGGGTTTCCAATCGCTGTGATTCATTTGGTTGGTGATAAGCTAAATACTAACTCAGCAGTATAAAAACCTCAAACTGTGTTATACGAGGGCTGGTCAAAACGTTCTAAGCCTAACAAACAAAACCAACAATTATGAAAGTCTTTTTTATTCAATTTTTCAACATAATCTCCCTGCTTTTCAATACACTTCTCATACCGACAGTGAAGCTTTTCAATATCAGTCAGGAAAAAGTTTTCTGAAGCCTCCCCGAAAAATCCATTCACGGCAGCTTTGAGGTCATTGTTGTCGTCATAGCGCTTTCCATGAACGTGTTCTTTCAGTTTATGAAACAGGTGGAAATTACCCGGTGCCAGATCTGGATTTTAATGGATCCATGGCTTCGACCTGTGTCTTCCTCAATTTCAGCAATAGTTTTTCTATCTCCTTGACTGAATGTTCATTGATGGAAGTTGAGGCACGCCATCAAGGCTTGTTTTCCCAGCCTTAAACATAGTTGTCAACGTTTCACAGTGAAATAGCTAGGACACTTATCCCTATACACTTGTGACATGCGGTCATGAATTTCTTGGTGAGTACTTTTTTTTAAAGTAAAAAACTTGGTGATTGCTCAGTACCTTGTCACGTTCAAATGGCTGTCACTAATATACAAATTAGTTCACTTTGTTATGGCCCATAGTTGAAAGTTAGTCAGACTTAGAACTTTTGACCGGCCCTCATACGATATATAGTATACAGGTGTCACACGATACATAGGGGACGGGTGTCACACGATACATAGAGTCCCTAGTCTCTGTAACCAACCTGCTGCAACGTTACAGAGAGACCGGACAGACATCAGACAGACCAAGAACAGGCACACCCAGGGTAACTACGCTCAATGAAGACGGTACATGCGTACTTTGCCTCTCCGGAATTGATTCCTGACAGTGACATAATCAGCGACCAATGTTTTAGGGCACAAGATTACTCGACAAACAATGGGCCAGGCGACTCAGGGCTCAAGCAGACCTTATAGAGGACGGCGCAACATCGTCGACAAAGATTGAGATGAACCCTGACTGTACGTTGGCAGCGACGTGACTGGCAGAGGGTCGTCTTCTCTGATGAAAGCCGGTTCAGTCTGTAAAGAGCTGATGAAAGACAGCATGTTTACCTCCGAAGTGGAAACACACGGCGGCATGTTGCGTTCAGGGGGTCGAGCCGTCTGGTGGAGGGGGTGTTATGGTGTGGGGACCACTGGTCATCGTTAACTGAAATTTGACAGTTCAGCGATTGACCTACCATTTCTACAACAGCTGCCACGCGGTGTCCTTTATCACCAGACCCCATACAGCCCGAATCATACAGAACTTCCTGCTTTCAGCCAACAATGTCAACGTGTTGCCGTGACCGTAGAACACCCCTGGGATGTCACTGATCGTCGTGTTCGACAGCGACCACATCCTCCAGCCAACCGACAAGAACTGATCCGGGCCCTGCTGGAACAATGGCGACGTATCCCACGTGACGTTATTAAACGGTTGATTTTTTCTGTGCGCCGGAGAGGTTTTAGGAGTCTTACTTACTTACGTACTTACTTATAGTTGGATATGTTACGTGCGCTTTCCGACATTATGTGTATTTCGCACACGGTTGGGTGTCTTGTAAGCAGGGTGTGCCATACACGCTATTAATGTGTCGATTTTAGGTTGTGTGCCCTTTGTCTGTTATGTTGAAAGGTAGTGTTTGCAACCCTACCTCGGGCAACTGCCATGCCAATATCGGATGTGTATGACTGTCTTTATATATGTTGATTTCGTTGAGATTTTGATCTTATCAATACATTTTACTTTATGCTGACAAATTCACTTCGTAACTCCCATACATAGGCTTACGATAGTCTTAGCACTAAGCTCGTTTTGTGCAAGTGGGCCCTGGACCATAATGGTATTTAACCTTGTATACACGCCCGTGACGTGTTGGAAGTGCCTTGGATATTTGAAATTGTTTTGTATTGCGTTTTAAAGGTGTGGTGGAAATGTAACTGTTCAATAATAATAATGAAACTTTATAAACACACGAGAAGGATCCCTTTGCTATGCACTAACTTAGAACAAGTTATTGCGTTTCCATGTCAGTACGCCGGACATATAATGAAATGAGAGTCGGGTTTATTTCCGGAGTTACAGTAAAAACAGAATATACTGTTCAGTATTACACGTAACATGTTACATACAAATCAGACACGTGCTGAAGTGATGTCTTTTGCAATGATTTTATCATATTATATAATTATTAGATATTTTGTTTCAAAGGAAAAAAATGATTTCATTAAAATGTAAGTAGGGTTCACGTCCGGATCATAACCTATAAACGGTTCAGTATTTTTTAACAACATTTGAATATACAAAAGGCAACAGCTGAACTGCCGCCTTATGTTATTCAGGAATATATAATTTTCATTAATCTGCGCTTCTATGGCAGAGAGCCATCATACAGAGCCAGACGGAGACTGACCAGAACCCTTATCGCTCCGGGGTTTTGTCAAAGCGATACGTTCATGTCAAACCGATGAATAGAGTTGGCAGAGTTAAGTCCCTTGGTGTATGTAGGACTCTTGTCCAAGAACAATCGTTTGTTCCACGATTACAGCATTTCTGCAGGACGACAGTAAGATACCATTTGCAAGGGAGACAATTCTGTGATAATGCATCCGCCCTGGAAATACCGCCTCATTTGCGGTTATATCTGTATTTTCGACCATCACTGACAATTTGACAATGTTACCAAACATACTTGTCCAAAATGAATTGTTGACATGTTCTATTTTGATGATGGCGGATACCGCTGTTTGTGAATCATTAAAGTTGGACAAACGTTTCTTATTAGAATCAATCTTGTAATCTACAACATAAAATTTTGACTAATACCTTCATGTATGATATGATATGACATCATCTTTTATTATTTTTGAAATAAGAATAAAAATCTTTTTATTTCTTCTTCGTGTAATTAAACATAGGAAGTGGGGTTTATTTAAGGGTAAACTCAGCCAACAGAAGACGTGTTTTTGCGCCAAACAAATTTATTTGTGAATTACACATGGGCTTCTAACAGTCATCCAGCGAGTGGACTTTGACCTTGCAGCTGACGTATGATGTCCTCAGCGTGTTCCTGGATAGTTGCTTCCTGGCTGAGCATTTGGTCAGCTTCAACTTCTATTTGTAAAAGTCCGTTCAATGCATTGCCAGGGTTTCCTGAAATATCAAATAATACGTTGTTACATGACTAACTTATTAACTAATGGTCTTCCTTTAATTAAAGACCTACCCTCACGCCCAGCAGAGCCTCTGTGACAGGCGGTTGACTGAACAGAGGACAACACTGTAATCACACATATACTCAAACGCAAAAGAAACGCAATTTCTACATAAAATGCGGATAACGTTAAGACCTTAAAAGATATGGAGATAATATTAACATGGTAACAGAGAAAACATTTGATAAAATATAGGCGTTGATTGTTTGATGACAACCATCCGTGTTTATTGAAAAATCCCCCCGAAAAACCCCAGAAAAATTACAAGTGTCTGTCGTGTCAATCAATTGCGTGTGTGGTCTCCGTTAGCTGCGATACAGGCTGGACATCGTCTCATTGAGTCGACATGTCTTGGGAAGAAGGCTGTGGGAAACCCGTTTCACGCCCGCACCAAAAAGGCTTCCAGTTCCGGAAGTGTATGTGGCTGCCTGCAGCCTGAAGACATCTCGCAATCTCTCAATGGGTGCCATGTCAAGTGACAAAGACGGCCAGGGCATCACAGGAATGTTATTCACTCTGAAGAAGTTCATAGAGACCCGGGGGCACGGGTGGCCCAGTCTTCTAAGGCGCCGCGATTCACTGTGCAGAGTTGCGTCCCTTGGGCACGCCAGAAACCTATGATTGTGGGTTCGAATCCCGGTTCACCCCGATTATGTTTCTAGGTTTGTCAGCACCATACCCGTGCTCGTGGGTTTCACCGAAGTGGTAAACGTCTGAGACCTGCATCACTTCGGGCTTTCCTCCCGCATTAAGCTGACACGCCGTGATATAACTGGAATACTGTTAAAAGCGGCGTTAAACCCAACTCACTCACTCATAGAGACCCGTGCTGTATGGGGAAGAGCGTTGTCCTGCTGAAAGACCTGGAGTTGAGGTTGACCCAGGAAGAGAGGTGTGACGTGATTACGAAGAACATCAGCCCTGTTCACGACAGCAGTCAGACGCTGATGAAACACGTGTAGAGGGGTCCTGTGATGATAACTGAAGCCTCCCCTCACCATGAAGCTTCCTCCTCCACACAGCAGTTAGCGTAACGCTCATGACGTCGTCTTCACACTCTGATGCGGCCATTGGCGTGAGAAAGACTGAACCTTGATTCGCCCGAGATGACAACTTGTTGCCTCTGTTGACGTCGTCAACTCAGGTGCTGCAGACGTTGTTGACGGTGACGTATGGGCCCGACATAAGGACGACGACATCTGATCCCCGCCCCTCTTAGACGACGACAAACTATCGGCTGACACGGGATGACGTGGACCTTGATTAGCTGCAGCTGTCTGTGTTGCTCGTCGCTGTCGGTCACGCAGATGTGTCACCCGGATGTAACGGTCCTGCCCTAGAGCAGTGACCCTTGGCCGCCCAGAACGAGGTCGGTCTTGGACACTGCCCGTCTGTTGATGCCTTGTGACGAGTCCGGTGATGGCAGACACATGACATCCAAAGTGCCTCGCCGCTGCAGTTGACGTTGATCCGGCCTGTAGCATCCCAATGGCAACGCCTCTCTGGAGTTCAGTTAATCGGGGGCGGTCGGGTAGCCTAGTGGTTAAAGCGTTCGCTCGCCACGCCGAAGACCCGGGTTCGATTCCCGACATGGGTACAATGTGTGAAGCCCATTTCTGGTGTCCCCCGCCGTGATGTTGCTGGAATATTGCTAAAAGCGGCGTAAAACCATACTCACTCACTCACTCAGTTAATCGAACCAGGTTTCCTGTCCTTTTTCAAAGTTGAGTGAGAAATGCTTGGCTTTCTTTTCATAAGGTGGCTTATAAAGGATGGCCAAGGGGGAAATGCATGCATTTTTGCATGTGATGTGCGCTGCAATTGCGAAAAACGTCAAACGACATGAAACGACTGCGTTCCTACGACGTGCTCCAAGTGAATGATGTAAAAAGTGAACAGTGTTTCTTCAATGTGTCTCTTTAAGAGTGTATACGTTTCTTTTCCCAAATTACTCTTTTGTGTATTTCACAAAATAAAATAAAAATGACTGGCGTTTCTTTTGCGGTTGAGTATATATGCTTAGATGTTACAAGATGTTACAAGATGGCACTTGTTGGCCCGCCTGGCGCTCGGCAATAAGGAATAAAGCCAGGGGGTAGCACAATGTGGTATCTTGGTATCTCGGTAGGCTAGCACCATAAACGCCGCATAAGAAAAATGTCCCTTTAAGGATTCCGTACATAGGTCTACGCAAGTACAATCTGCGAAAAGAAATTAGTATAAACGTGATGCTCTTCTATCCACCCTATTATTCTATAACATTGTGGTCTCAATGTTGTATACATCATATTCTATAACCATAGAATCATTCCATTTAAAGGAAACGACAATGTATGCCCGGCGACGATATATGCCCGGCGTCAATATATGCCCGGCGACGATATATGCCCGGCGACGATATATGCTCGGCGACGACCGGCGTCAAAATATGCCCGGCATCAATATATGCCCTGCGACGACCGGCGTCAATATATGCCCGGCATCAATATATACTGCAACGCAACTAAAGCATAATGATCAATCGTTTTACCTTGGGCTTTCACTTGGTTTATAAGAACAAAAATGGCGTCCTTGGTAGTTGTGGCTTGAATCTGGAATACTCCAGCCTCAGATTTCAGATCTAAGATTGATCTGAGTATTGTCGAGTAAGACGGTGCTGAAATAAAATAGCGAGTTATGATGAGTTTGTGGCTGAATGTTCGTCCTGTAGTGTACAATGCAACATCTAAACGTTAGACAGCACCCTTAATTGTGTCACGTGCACAGTAGTCATATCACTGAATTTGTTCGACCTGTATCCTGAGTCTATACGGTCTGGACAAAGTGAATTAGTGCTTAAATCAGTTCATACCTGATAACTGCTCTTCCCTGTTCAATATATTATCAGTGTCTATATATCCACCATATCACCACTCTAGTCATCAGGGCCCACTTGCACAAAGCAATCTTAGCGCTAAGCTTAAGATGATCGTAACTCCCATTCTTTAACATAGGCTTACGATAGTCTTAGCGCTAAGATCGCTTTGTACAAAGGCAGCCAGGTCAGGACTTATTCTTATTATTATTATAGCTTGTAGCAATAGTGGGTGAGTTTCTTTTAGCAGTAGGTTATATCACGGGGTGACAATGTAAATATCTTAACAACAACAACAACAACAACAACAACAAATAATAATAATAATATCACCTCATTCTAGTTTTGAAATCAGAATCAAACAATCTATTTATTGCTTCGTCGCGTAATTAATAGTTTAAGGGTGAAATTAGCCAACAGAAACGCCCAAACCATTGACTTTTAAATAGGCAACCACAACAATGTTATCCAACGAGTTTACCTCCATTTTGCAGCTGACGTATAGCGTCCTTAGCGTGGTTCTTGACCGTTGCTGCGTGAACCAGCAAATTACCAGCTTCATCTTGCAGCTGAGAAAGCTCTTGCATCATTTGCTCGTCTCCTGAAATATTGAATAGTGACTGATAATATGATACTTGTGTATCACACATTCGTCCTTTCAAGTACCATCTACCCTTGTGCACGTCGCTTTATAAGAGCCGCCGTTTCCGGAAGCTTACACACCACACTAACATGTAATTATAGTAACTTGTGACGACTGCTTAGATTAAATAGTACTATATTCCTGACGACTAACCACTGCCAAAACACAATGCAATGAGCGTCTACCGAATCTCAACTGTAACACTATAACACAGATACAATCATTGTTAAACACTACAATATACTGCCATCTAACAGAGTATAAATGTAGGCAACTGAAGCAAAAATATCGAACGTTTTACCTCCAACATCCACGTCATAGTTAAGGGCGTCCTTGATGATTTTTACTACACTTTTCAAATCAGCAGCCTCAGATTTCAGGGCATTGAGTGATGCCAGGATCACAGAATCAGAGGGTCCTGAAATATAATATGAGTTATGAGTGTTTGACTTAATGTATGACATGTCGTCCTTTAGTGTACCATCTACAGGGGCGGTCGGGTAGCCTAGTGGTTAAAGCGTTCGCTCGTCACGCCGAAGACCCGGGTTCGATTCCCGCCATGGGTACAATGTGTGAAGCCCATTTCTGGTGTCCCCCGCCGTGATATTGCTGGAATATTGCTAAAAGCGGCGTAAAACCATACTCACTCACTCACTAGTGTACCATCTACCAGTGCTTCCAGCAGAGTCTTGTCGACGGGTGGTTGTCTGAACGGAAGACAACACCCTTAATGGTGTCACGTGCACAAACGTCACACTACAGATTAATATCCTACATATATCCATGTACTATTGAATCGGTATTTGTCGGGTAGCCCACAGCTAACAGCTGCACTTCCGTGTTCATGATCAGTGTCCATTTCGTCCACCCGATTATCCTTCTAGTCACGTGCTTAGATAAAGCAAAGACCCGTGGGGATTCCGGGTATGAACGGGTGGTCAGGCTTGGTGATGCTCATGATGTCAATCACTGGAATGTCTGATCCATATTCGATTATTTACATAACGCCGTCACGTAGCTAGAATACAAAACTAACAAACAAACGGGAACCCTGCTATTCCACTTTTGTACAGAAATGTTCCCACGTTAAGAGATTACTTTTCTTTGCGTATACACAAAATGTCCATACAATGATTCGATTAATGAGGGCTCACTATACACCGGCCACATTACCAAGAACTGGCTTCATGTATTGTGCTGGGTCGTGGAATCGAACACGGATTTCCGGCGTGACTAGCTTAACAACAACAACAACAACAACAACAACAACAACAACAACAACAACAAACAATAACAACAAACAACAACAAGAATAATAAATACTTATGCTGTAATCGTCCTTTCGTATTCTTTTGGTGTTGTTGATTGGACGAAACAAGAAATTGTATTGACACCCTCACACGAAGAATCATGTCAGACAATAGATCCCACCATTCTCGCTCTTCCCTCAATCGCTTATGTTTACCAGTTACAATGTGATGGTGTGGATTGATTAACGTTGGAGCTCTTCATGATGGAACTGTTTTGTGCACTTTTGCACACAGTTATTTGTCCGATGATCCTCCTGTGAAGCGTGTCAAGACTCATGATGAAAACAAGGCATTCCACGGTTTTCTTAAACGAGCCAAGGATGTGGGACATAATCTCAATGTTAATGTTGATTTTGCCGATGGATCTGTACTGCTGGACGGTACAGAAATGAGTGACAATCAAGCAGCCCAGTTTTTTAAAGAGAAGCTATCTGAACGACCACTGTATCGAGTTTATGCGCAGTGTGTGGAGATGACCAGCAACCCTGCAGAATCATTCGCTTGAGTGAAGTCGGCTGGCCTGAAAAGTCAACCAGAAGGCTTCCTATTTGCTGCTCAGGACCAGTCACTTCTCACTAGAAACCGTCAATGTGTGATTTTTCATCAACATGTAAATACAAAATGTAGATTATGCAATGAATTTAATGAGACTGTCCAACACATTGTCAGTGGATGCCCAGCTTTGGCACAAACACAGTATCTTAAGCCACAGGATGGTGTGGTTCGATCATTTTATTACCGTCTTCGCCATGCTTGTGGTTTTGATACACATTCCATCCATGGTATGACCCAGTAAATGTTTTGGGCGTCATGAAAAATGATGAATAAAACTTCTTTGAAACAGGCCCGTATACAGTCTCATACCTATCCAGGCCAACAAACCTGATCTTGTCCTTTTTGATAAATCCAATGAAATCATTATATTATTGAATATAATGTGATTGACAAGACTGAGGAAAAACATGAACAGGAAATAGTTAATAAAGCAAAAAACGTTAATCGATATCTCGCATGGTTTACACTCAGCTGCAACTAGAAAACAAGGTATATGTTTTTAATTAAAAGTATGAGTTTGATCGTTTTTTATTAATAAACCTCGCTTTCGAAATGTCACGCTTGCATCCCAAACACCATGTTGTCCGAATCCCTATTGTTCTCGGTGCCTTTAGTTTGGTACCTCCCAATCTGTTGACTGACATTGGGAGAGTTCCCGGGTGTGCTACCGAGAATACAGCCCTTCTGTCAATCTGGATAATGCAGGAGGCTGCAGTGTTGGGGAGTCTTCACATTCTCCAAAAAATTCTCGGTGGGCTCAACCAGGCAGCGCTTCCTGGGATAAGTCCCATTCGCTGTCTGGGCTGCGTGTAGAGGGGGAAGGGTCCTGAGCTGATGATGAGCCTAACCAGCTTAACCAGCCTAACCAGCTTTGCCCATCTTCCCGAGGCAAGAGAGTTAACTGACTGTAAAAGTCCAGTTTCCACCCTTGCCGAACTACGAGAAACCACGTGAGCACCTTCATTAAAAACACGAAAACATATGGGAAATATCTCTTGACAACGAGTTGGCGGTGAACATCCTTTGCAAATCCTGCATTCGACCGAAATCTGCATGACAGTTTACGAACTGGATTTCGAATCCGTTGCGCGATTTTGATTGGACTATTCATAGACTTATAAAGTCAGTTAACACCTTTGCCGCGGGAAGATGGCTTTGCCAGGATCACCCCAACCCTCTTTGCTGCATTTTGTTGTTGTATTTATTATGTAAATAATAATAATAATAATAGTAAGCGAATGCTGGAGTCTGAACCCGGACAGGTCTCAATTAAATCACGCCTATCGTAAGAGCATACTTAAATCGGGATTTTATGGCCAGTCTCTTAGAACCTTAACTCTCCTTGAGTAGACAATCGTGCCTTTTCTGTCACCGGGTTGTCTGGTCAAAACTCAATTACTTACCTGCCGCCATGATATGGCTGGGACATTGATGACTGTTATTAAACAGCACTCACTCACTCACTCACCGACAACTACTTGCACATTTGTAGACTTTATATATATATATATATATATATATATATATATATATATATATATATATATATATATATATATATCCGGTAGACTTACAATTACTTGTACATTATAGAATTCATACATGTATGAATACTAATTCAGGAGACTTAATTTGGCAGTCAATAAGCAATGATATATTTCAGCGTTGTTGTTTATTAAGGTGGTAATACCCATGTTTCACTTCAGAATGACAAAAAATACGCACTTGTGACGCCAGTTTGTGTTGCTGCTCCGTCAACCGATGCCTGTAAAAGAGGACACGTTGGTTTGACAAAGGGCACTAAAATGCAGGTGACATCACAAACATCCTTGCTGCATGTACTAGCTAGTTTAAAAGTTGCTGCTTTTTGTATTACCAGACGTTAACTGCTCACGGGTGGTAACTGCCCAGTAGTTACATCCTCCCCTTGTCACGCAGAGGGCGGGTTCTATTCTCCAAAGGGGAGAGGTCTTTGTCTGACATATTGTCTGATGTCGTAATATTAGAATTCAATACTGATACAGTCAGCGTAAACCTAACTGACTGACTCTACAGTTCAAAACACGTAAGCACCTGCTACAATAACATTCTCCTTTGAGAATACAAATTACAAACACTAGCTCAAAAGCGATCATGGTTATCTGTGATTTATCAACTCACCAATGATCGTTCTGAAACATCGCCACTATCCTGAGGATTGTTCAGCATGTTTCAGAAAATACGTAAACATGAACGCCGAAGTGAGCTTTTCGCATTTCAGTTAGTAGGTTTTGTATAAGTATATCAAATGTTGCACAGATACAGGCAGAAATAGAAATAAAAGCGACCAAACCCTTTCCATGTCCAATGGAAATCTCTGAATAAAGCAGAGTCGAGTGTACGATTCCGTCTATGTCATGAGCATGTGTATTAATCACTATCAAATAGTCATGATACCATGTGTACGCGAAAAGCTGAGTGAATCATGCCTCAACGTTGGCACCCGTCACAAACACATGCAAAGGCAAGTTAATTGTTCACCTGACAAAACACGAGAACATATGGTACAAGTCAAAACAGGGAATTGCATTGGACATAATTTTTGTCACTGATGCGTCAAATTTGAAAATGTCCTCCACGTGTCTACCATGAAACTTTTTGAAAGCTTTACTGAGGCCTTGAATGTTGTAACCTTGATCAACAACGTCTAAGCAAGAGTCGTATGACGCTCTTTGAAACCCTTGTAGAAAGAGCATGCTTGATTGTATCTCAAAAGTTGTGAAATGTAAACACCAAAGGCTGGAGCTTCTAGAATATTGCTCGACATGAAGGGAAAGTTGAAGTCACCCCTCTTGTCATACAGTCTTATAGAGAGTGTTTTGTCACCCTGAATCTTTATGCATAAATCTAAGACAGGATACAACTTTAGAACAGCTCCAAGCCGCACAGGCTGAATGGACTTAAAACACACCAAAACTTGACTAGATAACTTACAAACCCAATAGACAAAGTCATTGTGAGGTTGACGTCACAATACGTGAGTACAGACTGTTGACGGGTAAAACACGAGACGAAATGTACCCCCAATCAGCAATCTCCGACTGTTACACACCGTCAGAAGGACGCGAGATGTTCTTTCTTATCTTTGGACTCTGTGTAACAGCTATCATGAATTATAAACTAGGTAAAATTGTCTAACCATTTAGGCAAACAATTAGTTAAGTGTATACAATGATTGGGAAGAACCAATATGTATTTTCAGTACTGTACCTACCTGGGCGAAAGCCTGGCTCAGCAGCACGATGAGGATGGCTGTTCTATGCATGACAAATTCTAACTGCAAAGTGTTCAATTTCAAAATGCGTTTGTGTCAGTTATATAACAGTGAAACACACCTGTGTATACATAATCAATACGTTTTCCTGCATTAAATGTGATAGCGTCCAAAACGTCAACACAAGTAGATCTGAATAAATAGAACTTACAATGTATGTGTGTTCAGCTTATGTCGTCCCTGTTAGTCGGACACTATGGTCAGCATTGTACCTGAATTAGAGGTACATGTCATGACTCTATGAAGTAGCATCTGTTTCTTGTCAAAACACACGGTATTTGTACACGGCTCGTTCTTACCTCAGGCCACGTCTGTACACAAATACTCTCTAAACATTGGGTGCCGATGCACGTACCAAAATTGATTAGGCAGAGAAAAAACTCCTGGTTGGGTACAATACACTCTAAAGCATAAGTTTTTAGCTCGATATTCGACATAATTTGTCATATAGTTTGCTAATGCTTGGGGTTATTAACGTTCACTACTGCAATTGCCAGAACTTGGAATACATTTTTTTCTGATGCTCTGTCGTATAGTTAATTGGAAAACATGTATTGCCGTTCTTAGATTCTGAGACAGGCTATTATTTCTGTCCTTGCTTGAATACTTGTTTCTGTGAAAGGAGGAGAATAAGGATTACATTTGGCATCAAAACACATTTTGTTCAGGCCATACACTATTTCCACCGAGAAAAGCAAACCATGTAGTTTTTGTGTGTAAATTATTTTTCCTGCGTTTCCTCGAACATATTATATTTTTCAAAACAATACATCTTCAGATCACCAGATGTGAGTATTGCTGTCCGCGTGGTCTTCATTTGTCTGATCTTCTGTGCACTTTATTGAGAATCTGGTAGGATTATTAGTGTTTTCTTCTTCATCTGCAAGCTTGATAATAGTATTCACCTTGCCTAGGCTTGATATCAATGGTGAATAGATGATCTTCACACAAAAGCTGGTCTTGATGTAATGTGAGATGTAATGTGAGCTGATAGAGGCACCACTTGTCCCCTTATATAGTATAAATCCCTTCCAGAACTTTCTATACGACTTTCAATTACTTGTACATTATAGACTACATACAGACTATATATATAGTGGAAATATCGTTGGTCACAGGGACATTTCTCGACCAGGCGAAAAGGTGGTAAATAATATTACATTTACAAGCTAGATTAATGACTTTACTTACATGTATGTCAAATGTAGGCATTCACGTGTTCTCTCTGTGAAGATTACAATACAATATGCTTCTACTTCAACACACAGTCGACCCGTGAAGATCCGGGTAGAGAATAGGTCTTCAGCAACACATGCTGGCCGTAAAAGGCGACTATGCTTGTCGTAAGAGGCGACTAACGGGATCGGATGGTCAGACTCGTTGACTTGGTTGATGCATGTCATCGTATCCCAATTGCGTAGATGGATGCTCATGATGTCAATCACTGGATTGTCTGGTCCAGACTCGATTATTTACAGACCGCCGCCATGCAGCTGGAATATTGCTGAGTTCGGCGTTAAACAACAAACAAACAAGCAAACAATACACAGTCTAAGGCGCCGCAATTCGCTTTGCAGATGGTTATGAGTTTTGGTTCGTGTACACCATACCAGTACCCGGGGATTTCACAAATGTGTTAGACGTCTTCGACTTTCCACACTTACGGCTATCCTCTTACCTACCGCTGACACGTTGTAATATGACTGATAAAGTATTGAAAGAGGCAAAAACCCAACTCATTCACTCACCCACTCACTCATTGTGAAATTGGATTTCTATTGACTGGGTTTAGGCTAGTCGAATGCTAAGAATTGCTGGACATGTATTCCAATTTGTGGAACTCAGTATAGATGTCTTAGGCAGGTTTATTGTCCAAATGATTAATAGCATAATTATTATTATTATCTACAGATTAAAATAAATAATTCTGCAAAGAGGGTTATGGTGATCCTGACAGAGTCAGGCTGGTTAGGCTCATCATCAGCTCAGGGCCCATGCCCCCTCTACACGCAGCCCAGACAGCGAATGAGACTTCTCCCAGGAAGCGCTGCATTGTCAAACCCACCAAGAACTTTTCGGAGAATGTGGAGACTCCCCAACACTGCAACCTTCTGCATTACCCAGCTTTTCAGAAGGGCTGTACTTCTGGTAGCAAACCCAGGTACTCTCCAACTGTCAGTCAACAGATTGGGAGGTACCAAACCAAAGGCACCGAGAACAATAGGGAGTCGGACAACTTGGTACTTGGGATGCAAGCGTGACATTTCGAAAGCGAGGTTTATTAATAAAAAACGATCAAACTTATACTTTTAATTAAAAACATATAACTTTGTTTTCCAGTTGCAGCTGAGTGTAAAACATGCGAGATATCGCTTAACGCTTTTTTTGCTTTATTAACTATTTCCTGTTCATAAATACTGCCGATGTCCTGGAGAGAGAAGTCAATGATATTATCTAAAGTAATTAACAAAGCGGCTAATACAGTCACTGGAGTAAAAAATAAATAGAATGGGTAAGATGACACAACCTTGAGGCACCCCTTTAGATGTGCGAATAAAAGATGAGCGGAGGCTGTAAGCTTGACGAACTGCGGCCCGTTTACAATAACTGATTCGACCCATTTAAGTTAACATCCATGTTGTTAAGCCTTTGCATACGTTAGTGAGGCTGTATGGTTTTGAAAGCGGATGAAAAATCGACCTACAAAATTCTTACTTGCGATTTACCGTCATCTAGATGGCTATAGATTTTATGCAAGGTAGTCTATGTTGCGTCCCCTACACCTCTATTGGGTAAAAAAACAGCAACCTCTTGATAATGCGTTGAAGGCATTTCATAGCTATTGAAGTTTTAAGCCACAGGGTGATAGTCATTGTGTACAGTTGGGTTTTGCTTTTTGGAAACACGTACAATATCAGGGTATGAAACTCCCAAAAATTTCAGCCAGACCACAGGACTGGCTAGCTGAAATACTTGCCAGCCCTGACCAAAACCTGCCTGCCCACTATAAGCATATGTTTCTCAGGATAAGCTAACGGGGTTTCTTTTTGGTTACATTTTATCATTCATCTTTACATGTGAATTAATGCTTATCATCGGGAAATATTTTGAATATTTTCACATATAAAATATAACCCGACCGTCGGGCAGGGGGATTTGAAAATCTGGCAGCCCGAGTTGAAATCAACCCGTCTCTGACGGTCGGGCAGGCAGGTATTTCGAACACGTGCAATATTAGAACTTTTCCATGATAAAGAAACGTGATGGTAATCTAATGAAGTTAGAACTGCTCACTGCATTCTTTTAATACTATACCATATACATTATCCGGGCCGCATGCCCTACGTATGTTTAGTGCCAACCAACAACCTTTACTCACTCCAGGGGACCACCAGCGGCGGTAAATGAGCAATACAACTGATTAACAATTTTATATATCACATATGACACATCAAGATGACAGGTCCGTAAACACAATTGATCTATCTTCAACTTAAATGAGTATTCAGGAATACGATGAACTTTGTCATTATAATTTCTTGATAACAGATATACCTTTAGTGTTAAATAGTTTTGCAAATTAAAGACGTTTGGCAAATCGTAATAATATTTATTGATCAGGATAGCACGTTTATTGGATAGCGATCGCGATTTACAACGGAATTCGTTACCAAGTGCATTTGCATCCCAGTGCAAGTGCATATGCCTATCTACCAGTGTCTATTGACAATTTATGGTTACACGGACGGAGTACAAGTAATCGATGGAAAATATTTCGAAGAAGTAACAAGGAATTTTCAAGTGACCTATTTGCGCCAAACATGTTGATTTGTCCATTAGACATAGGCGACCCTGGCAAAGTTATCCAACGATTGGACCTTGACCTTGCAGTTGACGTGCAGCGTCCTCGGCGTAATTCTTGACCCTTGCTGCTTGAACCAGCATTTCGTCAGTCTCAGCTTTTATTTGGGAAAGTTCACTCACCAATTTATCGACAGACTGTCCTGAAATATCAAATAATGAGTTATGATATGTTGAACTTTCCCTTCATGTCGAGCAATATTTTCAGAAGCTCCAGCCTTTGGTGTTTATATTTCACAACGTGTGAGATACAATCGAGCATGCTCTTTCTTACAAGAGCGTCATACGATTCTTGCTCATAAGTTGTTTGATCAAGGTTACAACATTCAGAGCCTCAGTAAAACTTTCAAAACGTTTTATGGTAGAGCCTAGACATGTGGAGGACATTTCCAAAAATCAGTGACAAAATGACTTCAGACGCAATTCCCTATTTTGACTTGTACCACATGTTCCCGTGTTTTGTCAGGTGAAAAATTGACTTGCCTTTGCATGTATTTGTGACGGGAGCCACCGGTGGGGCAGGATATGTTCACCTTTTCGCGAACACCTGGTATCACCACTATTTTATAGTGATTCAAAAACACATGCTCATTATATAATTGGAATCCACTGTGCTTTTAGCAGAGATTTCTGCTCAATATGGAAAGGGTTTTGTCCCTTTTGTTTATTATTATGATTTGTTTCACTCATGTATGACACTTTCGTCCTTTTATGTACCATCTACCCTTGTGTCCAGCAGAGATTCAGTAACGCGTGGTAGAGGGAACCATTACTCTTAATGATGTCAAATTACTGATTGCAGTGCGTCATACACATATGCCTGGACGTTGAAAGACATTAACCTTTAGCCTGCTGAATTGTTTTCACACTTCTTACCCCTGCCTGCTCGATTAATTTTAGCATAAGGTGATCTAAAGAGGGTGGGTAACTTCAAACAGTCGGTGCCTCATTAAACAAGGGCCAATTGAAGAAATATTTTGCACATTTATTCCTGATAGAAAACTACACAGTACTATATAAAAATATCCCCATGTTTTCAATCATACCAAGGTTAAGACCAAAGCGAACACAAAATCCGTAATTTTCTTGAACATACCTGAATTGCGTTATTTAAGGTGGTTTGCGTTTCATGCTAGGAACCTTTTTATA